GGAGGTAGTATGGTCCTGAAGACAGGACAATATTACCATGTGTAGTGAGGTAAGTATGTGGAGGTAGAGAGTCATGGTATGTGTAACTTTGGCAAGATAAGATTCAAGCACTTTTTCAAGAGGATTTAACTTTATAACGTTAGAATAAATCACAGGTGGCATAGCAGTGAGAGTGCTTACTTCTCATGAATGCAGCCCAGGTTCAAGTCAAATCGGGCTTGGTGTCATATGTGAGTAGAGTTCTAAGTCTTTCTTGTGCTTTGAGGATTTTTCTCTGGGTTCTCTGGTTTTCTTTCCTTTTTTACAAAATGTCCCCAAGTACACAGGCTAACATGGAGCATGATGTAGCTTGGGTACAAACAACATGACATACAGTAAGGTAAGGCATGTTGTACTTAAGGTAGAACACAATGTACCAGGCTGTTCACTGTGAGGCAACGTGTAGCTTGGGTACAAACAACATGACATACAGTAAGGTAAGGCATGTTGTACTTAAGGTAGAACACAATGTACCAGGCTGTTCACTGTGAGGCATGGTCTAGCTTGGGTACAAATAACATGTCATATAAGGTATTATGAACAAAAGATGGTTTGCACATGTACATGAACCCAAGGTAGACCACAATGCACCAGGCTGTTCACTGTGAGGCATGGTCTAGCTTGGGTACAAATAACATGCCATATAAGGCATTATGAACAAAAGATAGTTTGTACATGTACCCAAGGTTGACCACAATGCACCATGTGTGCTATCTCAAAATGAACTGCATAACAAGCTTTTAAATAATCAAACAAGTGCATTATTACTATACTCACAGAGTGTACGTGCCCCTCGGCAGAGTTCTCAGTGCTAGCTCGGTTTTTGCCCCATTCCGCATGGACCCTTACTTTCTCATACGTTGAGGGCTCATCCACATCACGTGGGTAGGGATACTTAAGCAGAGTAAGAACACCTACAGAAAAAAATACCAATCAACAATTACAGTGTATTTTCTATGCATACTATAAGTAATGTTCAGGCTGACATATGGGATTAAAATACGGGGATAAATCCACTAGTACATAGACTGAATTGAAATATGGTGACCAATTTGAATAACTATTGTTCTGGACTTACTATCCTCATGTTCACATGAAAACAACAAAAGAGAACTTTTCAAATGAATTAGTGGTGCATTTAGGGGTGCATTTAGTGATGGGTTGACGGGGCAGCTGCTCCCCCTTTAAGTGATTTTTCTCTATGACTTGGCAAAATAAAATATCTGGATACAGTCTTGAAGGTTTTCTCTCAGGACAAAGTTTTCAGACCCACCCTTTCTTTGATTCCTGGATCTGGCCCTGTGAATATGGTATATATATATTCAGTCCAGAAAAATAGTTATTCAAGTTGCTGGCCATATTTCAATTGACCCTTTTCAAGTTCCAAATTACCACTGTGTTCCTTGATTACAGACTCATTTACTCAGGCTTAGCCTCGCATCAGTGTCTAAATATTCACAAATACCAATGGTAAAGTAAAGAATGCACAACTTCAACAATACAAACACTTTGAAACTTGACAGACCTCGACTGGAACACGTGAATATTCTTCACAAAATTGACGCTAAGCGTGAGAAAATGAGTCTGTAATCAAGAAACACAGCGGTAATTTGGAACTCGAAAAGGGTCTATTCAGTGTAAAACTGGAACTACTGTAAATGCCTGCGAGGAAATCTTAAATACAGTTCAGATCAACCTACCAGACTCTCCACCAATCAATGGCTTGTTTTCAAAGTGCTGAACAAATTCACTGAGGCTGGAGAACTTGCCCATGCCAAATGTATACTGCTGGTCCCCATCTCTACCAATCTGGAAATGTTTTACTGAATCGGCACACCTGACAACAGAGTATACAATACATCCAAATTTAGTTACTGAAGTCATGCACAATGTGTGTGACCATTCATCTATCCTTTTATTAATTCTTAATTTTTTTCATTTTATCATCATTCAATAATAATAATAATAATGGAAACTTTATTCTTTTTCTCGTAAATCTCTCTACGTATAGGCAATTAACAACTGGCTACTTGAAATTGATTGATACATAAATGATATAGATAGATATATAGATAGATAGAAATTAAAATTTTATCAAGTCTGGGCTTTCCCAAATCTTATTTTTACAACAAAATGAAGAAATAGAAAACGCGTGCGCGTGCTGTGTGTTGCCATAAAGCACGTGGGGGTTGGCAGAACAAGAGAGAAGTGTTAGGAGAAGCACGACGCGTAGCGGAGTGCTTCTGGACACTTCTCGAGTGTTCTGCCAATCCCCAAGTGCTTTATGACTGCACAGAGCACAGCAAGTAAGTTTTTTATTTCTTTTATAAAATACAAATTACAATAATAGATAGGAATGACGCAACGAAAAGTGTGCGACCGTGCAATGTGCTCTCATAAAGCATGCGCTCCAAACCAATCATAACGCGACATTCATAACAGTTATTTTATAATATATAATACGTGGCTCTAATGGCAAGATTCATTATTTTTTTGATTATATAGTGTTGTTGTTTTTTGTCAACTCCAATGTTACTCATCATGTCAAAAAATGTAGAACATTTGTCAGACAGGACGCCACGAGAACTCATCGAGAGGTTTACAAATTGAACGCAATTAAATTTACTGCTCAAATCTTTAATCAAAT